AGTTACTGGAAGGCAGTTACCCTTAAATGTAACAAGCTGATTGGTTCTTTACAGAAGGGAAATGGAGGCAAGACAGACAAATATTGGACATAATTGTGTAAAAAAGTCGCTGTAAAGAATTCAGATCCGTAGCCAGGAACCTGTATCTATAGGATCCATAGCAAGGAATAGCTGTGCCAAGCTCCTTCCTCATTTAGTCCAACAAAACCTATTTTCAACTGTGTTTAAAAAATAAACCGGTGTGCAGTAGTAATGGCCTGACTGTAAAACATCTGTGAGCTGAAGGTGCAGGACATTGCAAGTCCTCACTGGTATATTTCCTTCCAGGTGAGTCGGTTCCTTCAGCCATTTAATAATGTTCCTTTGTGGCTGCCTTCCTTCTGGTGGAAGCCTCTGTCTGGGACCTGTCAGTGCCTGCCTTTTCTTGCCACTCTACAAGAGTGAAGGGTTAAGTCCTCTACTCACCCACCACCTTGGCCCTTCCTGGCGTGGGAGGTACCAGTAGCAGCCCCAGTTCTGAGAAAGACACAGCACTTTCCCATAATGCTGTGGGATGCTGTTCTGACCTTCCAGGCTTGATTCACATAAAGCAGCACGCCACCGGGGAATTTTAGAAGCCAAAGTGCATAGATCGCCAGTTACATTCACATTTCTTTCTTGCATGACCCCTCCCTTCTGCAGGTTTGTGGTGTCCTGTATCCCCAGTTGGTTTTGGGGTCCTGTGGTCACACTGGAGGACTGTCTTGCTGCCTTTTTTGCTGCCGATGAGTTGAAAGGTGAGTTTGGGGAGGGCTGGCATATATTGTCTTCTCTGTCCGCCCCCGAAGGAAGCTGTCGAGAACCTTCCCAGATGCGTTTCTGGAACAAATGGAAGCTTCTGGGAGTCTGGCTGGGAACTGCATCCCCTCAGGGGCAGGAATGGGCCTTCACCATCTACTCGGGCAGGGTTTGGAACCAGCAAAGAGCAGACGCGACTGTCGTTCCCGTTGGTGCGCAGTGAGGGGCCGTAGCCCAGTGTTGGTGCTATGCAAGGACTTTCCTGGGCAGGAGGAAAAGGTTGGGGTTGGCAGGCTCAGCTGGGCTTGCTTGGGGGTGGGGTTGAGCCGCTCGTTTCCTGCATTGCTTGCAGGTGTTTTCTAGTAAATTGTCTGGTTGGCTGAATTTGTAACGTTTGCCCTGGCTCCTCTGTTGTATTCGGGGAGGATAAATGGGCCTTTGGCTTCTATGTAAGACAGCGAGATGGAGCCAACCCAGGTGCTGGCTGCAGCAGCAGGGACTGCACTGTGTGCTGGTGCTTTTGGACCCAGTCTGTGTAGCATTTATCCTTCCTGCAGGCAGTGCCACTAAACCTGCGCTGTGGACTCCTTGGGTGTTTCCCAGGGTCCTGGTCCCGACCGAGTGTTCCCTGGGGGCGTTGCAAGTGGGGGATGAGTTCCACAGGGCAGAAGTGTTACAAGGAGACTCGCCCACAACTCTGCATGCCCAGCTGAGGAGTCTGGGTAACCTCAGTCCGACCCTTACGCCTAGGAGAGCAAGATTTGTATTTTGTGTTCATGTAGGAGGTTCCTCGCCAGAGCCCTCGCTGAGGGGGCAGAAGGAGGCTGTGTGGTTCCCTGCAGGACAGTCTCCTGTGCCATTAGCCTAGGATGGGGAGCAGAGGGACTGAACACATTTCGCCCCTGTGTTAATCTGGGGAGTGGAAAGGAGGGTTTTGAGCATGTTTCCTCCCATCCCTGCTTTAACTGGGGAGAAGAGGCTGCTCCAGCCACGCATGAACCACTGGTGGGAGGGCTGAGCAGGTTCCCTTCCACCTCGGTAGACACCGCTGCGTTGCATGCCTGGTGGCTGGCTGCCATCTGTGCCATGTCTGTGTTGAGCTGGGGGTGGCAGAGAAACTCCCGCCCAGGTCTGCTTTCTCTCTGCTAGGCAGGCGCTTTACCCAGATTCCCCACGTGGGAGGAGAGTTTGTTTCCTCCTGGGGGCTACAGCCCCATGGCTCTTGCTGTCAGTAACATCGCGACGCCTTTCTTTTCTCTCTCCAGGGGACAACATGTACAGCTGTGAACGGTGTAAAAAGTAAGTTTGCGTCCTCCATTTTGTGCTCTTTCCATTAACCTCTCTTTGCCCAAACTGACTGTCCTCTCCTGCCCCTGGCCGAACGTCCCCCCTGCTACGGGCCTGCTAAACTGGGACTTGTTGAGTTCTAGATTTGAAAGTGACCTTGAAAGCCCTGGTTCGGGACCACTGTAGACCCTGGTGCTAGTGGGAGGAAAAGTGGGGCTGTGGTAAAGGAAAAAAGGAGGGAAGTGAATTAGGGGCCCCTAGGGGATACTGAGGAGAATGGAGAGGTGAGGCCAGTGGCCCATGCTCTGATACATGGTAGGAGGTTGCTCTCACTGACCTCCATTCCAGCTTTGCCCTGGAGTTCAAAGGAGTTGGGCCCAAAATGTGACCTACCCAGCTTAGTCTGGGGTCCCCATTCTTAGTTCTCATGGGGGACTTGTCTGTCTCTGTCTCTGTCTCTCTCAGACTGCGGAATGGCGTGAAATACTGCAAAGTTCTCCGGTTACCTGAGGTGAGTGGGGGCGGCTTGTTTCTCCCGTGTTAGTTGGGGGGTGGGGAGGGAAGAGTTGCTGAACCGAGAATTGAAAATAGCATTTATTTATTTTGCCTAAGCAAAGTCCTATTTTATTAGCAGATCAGAAAGGGCCTGTTGACCTTCAGTTGATGGGCCATCAACCCCTCTGCCAGGTTATAGTGACCATAGTGTGAGGAAATTCATGTAAAGATCAGGGGGTCCAGAGAGAGAACTGGATTTGATTTGGGTATCCATGGAAACATGCTGTGCTTTTGTGCCCTCTCCCTCTGGTGCCCTAGATCCTGTGCATCCACTTGAAACGGTTCCGGCACGAGGTCATGTATTCCTTCAAAATCAACAGCCATGTCTCCTTCCCACTGGAAGGACTGGACCTTCGTCCCTTCCTGGCCAAGGAATGTGTCTCCCAGATCACCACCTACGATCTCTTGTCTGTCATCTGCCATCACGGCACAGCAGGCAGTAAGTCTGTCCCTGAAATGCCTGGGAATGAGATTGGTCTGATACATGTGTCTGAGAATAGTCGGAAGCTCTGAGCACTGTATCCTGTTGCTGGTCTTTGGGCAGTGGCAGGGCATTAGGTTTTCACTTTGACTCCCCTCCTCAGGCGCTGCACGTAACATGCCAACATGTTTTGTAGTGGAGTTGGCTTTGATGCTGTCCAAGCTGCATGTTCCTACAGGGTTTCCCAGTGAGACTTTGAGATTCTCTTTTAAACCTCCTCAGATTTCTTGTTGTCCCAGCCTGGTCCCGTTGTCTGCAGTCTCCTCCTCCTTCCCTGTTGCCTACGAAGTAGCTCTTTCCAGGGCAGCCTAGCGCCTCACTCAGTTGCATGCAGCGATACGCAGTAGAAGGCTCACTCCTGCACTGCTCGACTTCCTCCGGCTCTACCTGTTTCAGGCTGGAGTGGTGGATTGCTCAGCGTTCGCAGAGCCCCTCCACTGCGCTGGTTCAGGCCTGTTACCCAGTGAGGCCCCTAGCAGTGTTTCCCCTCATTCAGCAAGGGGAAGCCTGTCAGGGAGGGCAGAACTGAATACATGGAAATGGGCCTGCCACCTGCAGCCCCCTTCCAAGCTGACACAGCGCCTGAATCCATCCCTCCTGGCAGGCCTGCCATACTAAAATCTCGGCAACATACCACTTTTCCCTTTGCTGGGCCAGCAGCCCAGGATTCATCTCCGCTCGGTCGCTGACATCATTCCAGGCCGGATTCCTCTTTCTGCAGGGGGAGTCCCAGGGCTGTTACATTCCCTCTGTTACAGGCGGGCACTACATCGCGTATTGCCAGAATGTGATCAATGGCCAGTGGTACGAGTTTGACGATCAGTATGTCACTGAGGTCCATGAGACAGTGGTTCAGAATGCAGAGGCCTATGTCCTGTTCTACAGGTGAGCGGGTTCCCTGGCTGGAGCTGGCTGTTAGCATACAGAGTGGTCAGATGCGGGGTTTGCTTCACTTTCTCCCCCCTTCCCTCCTCAAGGAAGAGCAGCGAGGAGGCTGTGCGGGAGCGGCAGAAGGTCGTGTCCCTTGCCACCATGAAGGAACCCACCTTGCTCCAGTTCTACATCTCTCGAGAGTGGCTCAACAAATTCAACACCTTTGCGGAGCCTGGTCCCATTACCAACCACACGTTCCTGTGCGCACACGGAGGTGAGGGAAGTGGCCAGGCATTCTGCATTGGGAACTGTAGCATTCATGCAGCAGCAGGAAGTTTCCGGCTGCACCTTTTGCTGGCTGACACATGGACGCACCCGGATAAAAGCCCCAGCTCCGTTCCCAGTATAACGTGTATTGCAGTAGAATCTGCCTCAGAGGCAGAGACTCCAGCGCACTCAGGAACGTGACAGATCATTGTCCCGCTGATCAAGGGCCTGGAGGGATATGCTGTGCTGGGAGACAGTCGCTTTCACTTCATCAGTTGTTTTCAAACAAGTATTTAGAAAGCTAATCGGGTGAAGGAGGTAAACTCTTGGGCAGCGTCCGAAGGGAAGGGAAGGGGTAAATGCAGGTCATTGGTTCTTTAGCTGCACCAACTGCCATTTACTACTGTGTTAGCCGCAAGGCTGCTGTTCAGTGTGTTTTGGGAGGAGTGGGGTGGGCTGATACCAGGAACCCTTAGACTGGTAAAAGCGCAGTCTGTCCTTCGCCCTGGGAGCATTTATAACCCTCTGTCAAACCAAGAACTCTCCAAAAGCCAGTGTGCGAGAGCGGGACTTGGCCTGAAGGCTTCAGCTGCCTTAGAGCAACAGTTGAGGGTCCCCTGCTGAGAACGCCCTGCTCCCTCCCCATCGGCTCCTTCTTTTCTTTGCCCCACTTCTCACCCATTGGCAAGATGAGTGACACCTCCCATCAATTTCTTGTCCCCCTCCATTGTCAGGGAAAACACTGCTCCTTGTTCAGTACCCAATTTAACTGCCTTTCATTCTGGTTTGCAGGGATCCCGCCCAATAAATACCATTACATTGATGACCTGGTGGTGATTCTGCCCCAGACTGTGTGGGAGTATCTGTATAACAGGTGAGGAAAGCTGGCTTACTCCTCATCCCACAGTGCCTTGGAACAACCAAAGCTTTGTCATGGTTGAGAACTACGTAGACTTGCCAGGCCACATCCATAAAGTGTGGGATCCTCTGGCATTGGCCAGACATGGTGCTTCCCTGTAAGACACCCAAGCAATTGTATATGCTGTTGCAATGCTGTCTATAAGGTGGTGAGACTTTCTTGATCTCCAGGGTGATTCTTATGCCCTGAATCCTGAGGGGGGATTGCCCTCTGGAGAGATGGAGCCTGGTAATGTGACAGCCCCTAATCTAAACAGCAGATGAGCTGTATTCTCCATTATCCCAGGGATCACAGAGGTGGGAATGTTCTGATCTACACCATGTAGGGCGGAGGCAATGGTGTTCATTAAAATAACCAGCCATAGCCCCCTCTGCATCCTCTAGATACGGAGAGTAGTGTAAGAATCCACCCTATTTACTTGTAGGGCTCAGGGTAGTTAACCTCTTCCATGCCAACCCAGTTCTCAGTTCCTTTTTCCTTCTCATCCTGGGCTCAGGTTTGGGGGAGGCCCTGCTGTGAACCATCTGTATGTGTGCTCGGTCTGCCAGGTGGAGATCGAAGCCCTGGCCAAACGCAGGAGGATTGAAATTGACACCTTCATTAAGGTGCGTGTGGAAAGGAGCTAGAGAAGGGAACCAAGGGCTGGGATCAGAAGTGGAGACTTCACCACAGATGGGTGGCAGAGCTCTCACCCCTCTGACTCCCAGAACAAGATTGCACCATGGCATGGAGATTCAGCTCTGGGTTCTCTGGTGCACATGCATCAGTGAGGCGAGGGTGATGCTTTGCATGGGGGTCTGAGGTTTGAGAGCAATCTAAGGACTTCCACATGCCGAGCAGGTGGATTGCTGTGGTTGGGGTGGGGGGTTTGCAGCTGAGTAATCCTGAAGAGTGGTGAAGTTTTTCCAACCTGTAATGGAAAGATGGAAAGCCCTATTGCAAACCTCAACAGTGACGGAATATTTCCCTTCTCCTGTTCCTTGGCCTCCAGCTGAACAAGGCATTCCAGGCAGAGGAGTCTCCCAGTGTCATCTACTGTATCAGCATGCAATGGTTCCGTGAGTGGGAGGCTTTCGTCAAGGGGAAGGACAATGGTAAGGAGCCTGAAGACTCTGGAACTTGTTAGAGGTGGGGTGTATCGTGTACCTAAGCTTGCTTGTTTATGTATGTGTCTTCTGTAGGCAATGTACCTACTTAGCCTATAAATGACACCAACCAAAACTAGGCTAGCAAAGAAGGGGGAACGGCCTCTTCCCCCCCCAGCCATGTTCAAGCTATTTCCCAGAGAGTGCAACAAAAGAGCAATTTACAGGAAAAGAAACGTCAAGGTAGGGGAGTGGGTCGAATCTCAATGAAAATCCAGCCGTTGAGATGGTAAGGCTAGGACAGGGCATGTCAAACTCACATTTAAGTACCACATGCCACATTATTCAAGCGCTTGTGCCTGGTTTCTTAGGGTGGCAAAGTGAAGCGGAAAACAGAGTGGGTATCAAGTATCAGAGGGGTAGCCGTGTTAGTCTGAATCTGTAAAAAGCAACAGAGGGTCCTGTAGCACCTTTAAGACTAACAGAAGTGGGTATGTCTACACTGAGCCGGACCCAAGGTTAGTACAACTCGAGTTAGCAGATCCTGGCTTTTTTAACTTTGGGATTGAGCGTCGACACTCATTTGTAACCCCAGGCTAGGAATTGTTGTATCCCGGGTCCTAACCTGGGGCTCCAACGCCTACACTGCATGATACGGGCCCAAGTCCAACCACTCCTAGCCCAGACTTCCTAGCGCCCTCCCACAAGGCGGCCACTCTCGCCCTTTGTGGGTGGTGCAGTGTGGGGTGGGAAAACGTCACTGTCCAGAGGACGAAGAGAGTCTCTGTGAGATTGTGGAATATTTTTGATAGACTCCCACAGCATGAGTCCAGTGGGGCTGTTTCTACACTGCAGAGCAACAGGGCTTGACTCAAGCTCAGAGCCTCCAGCCCTGTAGGGTCCTGGGAACCTGTGTCTGAGCCCTGGGTTAGTGCAATTTGTGTGTAGAAGGAAGGAGGTGAGGTTTGAGCCTGAGTTTGAACCTTGGGGCTTACATTGCAGTGTAGACGTACCTAGGGAGGAACTGGCTTCCATTGCAGTGTAGACGTACCTAGGGAGGAGCTGGCTTCCTGACGCTCATTAAGACTCCCCCAGTCCGTGGTTGGGGCTGCATACTGTCACTTGCTGTGAGGGCTCGTGTGATATTTTGGAGGAACCCAGATTGAATCTCTTTTTGGGGCTAGTAGGGAACACAGCCTGTCTGGGGGAATCCTGTGTTACTCCACAGTTCTAGAATACGGGTCTGCAGTTATGATGCTTTTCACCTGAGGCTCAGAAGTGGGCAAGTTACGATTCCCCCTTTGATGGGGAAACAGAAGCACAGGGAGGATAAGAGTTGTCCAAGGCAACACAATGAGTCAGTGGTAGAGTAGGAGAGAATCCAGCAGTTCTGACTCCCAGTCCCCGATTTTGACCATGCTGCCCGCTCGCCTCCCTCCAAATTCTCATGGTGCAGATGGATCAGAGAGCTAGATGGATCAGTGTCCGCCCTGGGCTCACTGCAAGGTGCGTAAAGCGCTGCCTCCCATCCAGGAGTTGATTGTGTCGACTCTGATGGACTGCCTGCCTGGGAGAGCAGGGGTGAGATAGGCCTCAGGAGGGGAACCTGGAAGTCTTGGCCACATGCTGCGTTCGGCACTGCTGTGCATCAGATCTCCCTCCATGAACAGCTTTTTACAGCACGTGGTGCCATTTCAGTCCAGGCGAGGTAGCGACACTCCACCAGCCCTCCTTCAGCTGTTTTCTCCTGTGGTGAAAGGACATGTCTGTGTCTTGGGAGGATCTGGAGTGTACCAGCGCAGACAGCCCTAGTCCCAGGGAGTGGTGCTCGCCTCACGTTTTCCAACAGCCCCGAGTTCTCCTTGCTTTTCAGGAGTCCAGGTTCCTGCTGCTGTATGAGATGCTGCCTGGGCTGGTGCCAGAATGTTTCTGCTCTTTGAGGTTCGGCGTCTCCTAGCTTGTTCTGTGGCTCGTGTCTTCTGCAGCAGACCGCCGAGGAGAAGCTTTGTTTCAGTGCTATGGATTGGTTGTCAGTGCCCTGCTTTTTAGATCTCTGGAGCTCTCGGACAATCGCTCTCCTGGACGTCAGCCGGCATCAGCCACTGCAGAGTATCTTTGCATTTGATAGCCATCCTATACAACCAAAGCTCTGGGCTGTTCTGTTTAGTGTGATTGTTGGGGCAAAATCCTCTTGTCACTCCTTCCCCAGCCCCAGCTGGGCTTCCAACTGCTCAGACTAGCAGCTGAAGGCAGGTGGAGGGGGAGAAGCAGGAATCTGGCTCCCTGATCTACCTTCCGTCCTTTCTTACAGAGCCTCCCGGACCAATTGACAACAGCAGGATTGCACTCGCAAAAGGAGGTGGACATGTGCAAGTGAAGCAGGGTAAGGCTCATGCTTGCCCCACCCCAGGCTTGTGTGTGTGTGTGTGTGTGTTGCTGTCCCTTGGAGGGTTGGTCCTGTAGGGACGGGGGAAGGTGCCTGGAAATGTCCTTTTTCCATTTGTCATTGGATTGTCACTCTGCCTCTGCTCAGTGCAAAGCAAGACCGTTGTGCTGACTCCCAGCTCTGCCTTTCCCTCTCCACCTGGGCTTGCCTCTGCCATCTCCTTCTGTATCTCCCACGGGCTTCTCAGACTCCCTCTTTCCTCTCCTTCTCTCTGTCCCACCAGCCTCCCTCGTATCTAGGCTTGGAGCTTCTGTCTCCTCTTCCTCATCACTTTCCATTCCCAGCTTCCCTGCTGTGGGCCAGGTTCTTGCAAAATCCAGTTGCTTTTCTCCATCTCAGGTGCTAAAAGCTTTGTTCACACCTTGATCATCTCATGCCTCCACCACTGCCGCTGTCTGCATGTCTTGCCTGGCTCCCTAGTCTGTGAAACACATTGCAGCTAAACTCCTCTTCCCCTCTCGCTACTGTGACCATGTCGCCTGTCCCTCTGATTCCCTGCACAGACTCCACTCGCCTTCTGCATCACCTCCAAGCTTAGAGGCCCTCCACATCTTCCATCACTGCTCTCACTCCTGGGGCCGACATACCTTTACTCAATGCCCTTGTTAGATCCCTGCTTCATCTCCCTGTCTCGTTCCACGCTGACCCGTGTGCTTGGAACTCCCTTCCTCTCCTGGCCAGCCAAACCTCATTCACTTCCTCTGACTGCACTTTTCCTCAAATACAGCTTAAAATCAGTCTGCACTGAGGGTGGGACCTTCCTCCTGTGCATCAGATGGGTCTGACTGTGTGTCATTTCAGACTGATTGCCCATTGGGGCAGGGACCTAGCCATTAGCACGGTGCAGACAGACAATGCTCGATACAGAATATGATCACTGGGCTGAAAGACAGTCAAAAAGCTCCCAAGGAAGAAAGTGTAGCCTGATAATACTTGAAAAAAATGCTTTGGGTGCATGGTCCGACTGTCCAGGAAAGCCAAGAGCTGCTGTGGTCAGAGTGTATTTGGTTACCATGTGCTGTGACCCGTCAGGCATCTCTCTTCCTGGTTGCACATGAGAAAGATGGGCTGATACCATGGATTCAGTGTGAGCCCTGTCAGATGTGGGCAGTGCTTTAGGGTGAAGTGCTGAGGTGTGCCCTGCATTGCTTTTCACTGCCTCATGGGAAGCAAGAAATGTGGCAACTTCATGGAGCCACAAAGGGTTTGATGGCTAAGTTGTGTCCTGTGAGCTGCCAGTGGCTCACTTTTGCCTTCACCAGCAGGTGGCAGTACACACCACTGCTCTGGGAGCAGGATATAATGTCAGCTACAAGATGCAAGGGGTTATGTCTCCGTCCGTCCATAGTGAACCTTACCGTGAGCGTTCCTTGCCTGGCGCTGCGTGAGCACTGCCCAGCCATTCAGACCACTGGCCTTCACCCTGGCTTAGTGTATTTGCAAGTACACCTCCTCTCTCACTGAGGGAGTTTTTTAAAGTCACATTTTCACCTGCCTCACTGTTCCTCGCTAGCTGAGCAAGGGGAAAGATTCCCTTTCTAGCATAGCTCCCAGCAGCAACACTCTTCCCCACCCCAGTACAGCTCGCTCGGGCTTGGGCAGTAAACTGAGACTCAGCTACGTTGTGGTGTTGCTGCTGTGCTTTTCAGGTGCTGATTATGGGCAGATTTCCGAGGAGACGTGGATTTACTTGAACACGCTGTATGGAGGAGGACCGGAGATCCCTGTACGCCAGAACATCGCGCAGGTGCAGGAGCTGGAGAGCCTGCATGGGGAACAGAAGATAGAGGCCGAGACGCGGGCTGTGTGAGCCGCCTGGACCAAGTGGTGGAGGTATGCCATGGCTGGAAAAGCGAGGGCTCGTTGGACTGAAGAACAAGGGACGTAATCCACCTCAGAGAAATAGAGAGGAGATTTTCCTTCTGGGGGCGGAGGTGCCCCTGGGGGTGTAAGCTTGCTCCATCGTCCTTGTATAACAATGTAAAACCTCATGCAGACTCTAGGCTTGGCTATAAGGATGCTGCTGGTCAGAAGAACCTTACCGTAACCCAGCTCCTGCACAGTCTCCGTGCATAAGGCTGTAGTGGGGAGACTGTCTCCAAACAAAACTTCAGTGGAAGAAGTTTGGCCTGAACCTCCCCCTGCTTTGGCTGCTCTCGGGAGTAGCCCAAGTCTGCCTTCGGTGAGTTGAATCTCTGCTCTTTGCAGGTGGCGCTTGGCCCTCACTTCACACATTGCTCCCCAGGAGCAGTTCTGAGCACTTTTTTGGAAGTCAGACGTATAAAGAAGAGACATTGTTTTGTTCACAGTGAGTAACGTTGCGACTAGAGAAACCCTATTTGTTTGAAGCTGGTTAAAGCCACAAGGGCTTGTAGCCTTTGTTTTGTTCTGCTGGTGCACAGGTGACAAGCGTCCTCCACGTTTTGCTCTTGTTCTAGTTCTTGCAGCCCCAATTACAGCAGAGAGACTGTTTCTCTTCCACTGTCAGACATGTGTTTGTGGCCTAGCGCTGCCTACATCTGCGTTCATCTGCTCTGCATGTTCTTGGTGAACAAAGCGGGAAGACTGGCAGCAGCGTCACACTTGCTTCCCATTGTGCCATTTCCATTTGTGCTACTTCCTGGTAGCCTTGTAGCCGTGAACAAGTACCAGGGCATGCAGGGCTCTGTTATAAGTTGCTTAAAATCAAAGGTGTTAAACAGACTCCATTCAAGTTGCTGAGGCTGGACAGAGGCAGTTCTGCAGCAAGTGCCATGGGTCTTGGTTTGGCCTAGATGATGTTCCCTCACCTCCCTTTCATAGTCCCAGAATGGAACATCTCCATATTCTGCTCTCCAAACACCACTGCCCAGCCCTGCCCCCATGGGCCTGAGGAGAGGGGAAGGGCCCACGAGGAGTGGGGGAGAACCTCTGAGACGAGCCATTCACTTGCAAGAAGCCAGGTGTTAATCCACCTGTGCTGAAATGTCCATCTTTTGACTTACACTAAATCTTCTCCCGTCCTGCTGGGGAAGGGCCTGGCTGAGCAGTCCCCGGCTGTGGGGGTGGCCTCTCGGAAACAAGCCGCCTGCAAACGAGCATCCACGCTCCCACGTGCAGTGCAGTGCTGCGCTTGCTCTAGCTTTTTAGGGCAGATCTTGTTGGGTGTGTACAGCGGCTCAGTGAGTGAATGGGAATACCTTGCACCCCAACCTCCTGCGGCTGAGTCAGCCGCCAAGCAATGGGGCGGGCTGAACGGAGAATGGCCAACACCATTTTTCATGTCTAAGCTGCTTTTCAAAATGACCGATTAGATTTAGCTGTTGGCCCCACTGTAAATCAGTGAGGTGGCTGCAAAATCCAGCATGGCTCTGGGAAGGGCTTTGCAAGCCCTCGGGTGAGACGCAGCGAGTGCAGGGCAGAGCGAGGCTGGCGTGGCTTAGCTGGCCAGCTCGAGTGCGTGCCCGGACCAGCCTCGCAGGCCGTCTCTGAGGAGAGCCACGCTGCATGCTCACAGTGGCGCTGGGGGTGGGAACGGAATGAATTCACTGCATCCGCCTGACTCCAGCGTGTGACCGTGGCCTCGGGAAGCCCACAGGCTCCTAGCGTAAAAGCTGAACAAGGGTGGAAGGGGGCTGCTGTTTGTCTCACCGCAGGGAAGTGAAAAGTAGGTTGGGGGGAGGGAGTTTCTGAAATGAGGCCTTCAGTTTTTTAGACCAAAAGTTTGCTGCAAACAGCAAGTTCTTGTTTAAAACAAAACAATTCTTGTAAATGGTTCAATGTGTTTCTTTTACTGTCTTGGTTACCTGGATCCTTGTCTGTACCCAGCCGGGGGGGGGGGAAGGGGGGGGGGGTCAGAGAATGAGCCACTGTTGGATTTCTCAGTGTTTTAAGCTGTGTTTTGTTAGCTGCTGCAGCCAGCGTTGAATCTCTTGTGGAGCGTCTAGGGCTGCATGTTGTAGCTTGTGTCTATGTTGTGTAGAGCATGCTGTACCGATTGTAACTACACTCCCGTGCTCAAGTGTTACACTTTGTGCTGAGACTGGGTTACAATAAATACACGTGCATTCAACAAGGTGCAGGCGTGAGGCCTAAGTTGTACGCAGGAGAGTCCAAGTTTCCTGCTGCCAACGGCCCCTGCCTTGGCAAACCCTTCTAAACCGCAGCTGGCTTCAGCAGGGATCCACTGAATCGTGAGAGCACTTGGATTCTGTCACCTACAATAATGCTCTTTAGTGGGACTTATTCAAGCAAGGGCACTTGTGTCTTTCAGCCTAACTTGGAACTGCTTCGAAAGGCTCTGTGTATTAATGATGGCGCTTTCATGCCCCAGTGCACTACAATCGGTCCAGAACACATTCTCAGCTCCTGGCTTCTTTCTTGGCCAGTCGCAGTAGCTGGATCTCTGCTGTCCCACTGGCAGGACAGTGCGGTCACGGCTTGTGGCCATGATTGCTAAGGGAGCACTTGCAGAAACTAGCAGCACCCGGTGAGTCGATTCCCATTTTGTAGCTAAGGACACAGCTTGTGCTGCTAAGCTACCATTGGGAAGTGCTTAGAGAGCTGTGGCTGAGAAGCACAATAGAAGTGCACTGAGTTCTGTTCCCAGCAGGGTGGGTATAACGCTAGGGAGAGTGATCCCAGGACTGCACAGCAGGCCAAGTACAGTATTGCGCCTTCCCCCCCCTTTAGACTGAGCACAGAGGGTTTTGGAGAAATGCTGTTAACTCTCATCCTGCCCATGTGCTACATCCAATATGGAGTGGAGCTGTGTCTCCTTGAGCACTACAAAATTCATGTTTAACTTGTAATCCTACAGACCTGTGGAGGGTCGTTTCTGGCTGGATAAAGAGGTAGGGATTGACCCCTTGGAGCGGGTGGTAGAGAGGCTGAGACTGAAAAACTGCCTTGCCAATGTGAAAAGTTTGTTTCCAACTGTGCTCTGCTTGGTATGGCCACAGCGTATGAGAGAGAGTTCCAAACAAAATCCTCACAGCTCCTTCGAGGAAGGCATTGAACTAAGCTAGTCCTAGTGCTGGAAAGATCATTACATGAGGCTGTGCAGAGTAAACTGTAAGTGCCCCACAGCAGCATTCTGGAAGCTGGCAGATACTGCTTTACTGGTGAGAGAAGGGAGCATGTCACAGCCTGAAATATTGAGGAGGAAAATGCTTCTGCAGTTGAAGTAGACACACAACTGTAGCTACTTGACAAACTGGAGTACTGGCCACTCTGGGCTGTAAACGTGACACACAGATAAATGCACTGGGAGTTAATCTTGGCAGATTGGAATGTGAAGTGCACCCCCGTAATGCCAAATAGTCTCATCCTATAGAAAACAAGGTCGTATCTTCAGAGTTGGATTATTGGCTGGGGCTCGCAGTCCCTCTCCGCTCTAGCACCGTGTAAGGGTGGCTTTATCATCTTTGTGCTCTTTCAAGCAGGGGCTTGTTTCCTGACATCAATCAGCGGAGCCTAAAACAGCTCTAAATTTCACCAGCTGCCAGTGGCTCCAAGGAATTGATAATGGCAGCTGGGGATCTAGCACCCTGAAGAGAAGGCTGGGCCCCGTCCCTCCTGCTGATGGTAGATATGGGGGTTGCATAATTACTGCTGTGTGGGACTGGAGAGCTCAACCCTGGGATAATCGTCCTTCCCATGTGTTTGAGCAGCTCTGTGCTGGTGGCATGGGGCGGAGCAGCTGCCTGGATCAGGTCTACAATAAGCATTGTGCTACCGCCAGCCCCCTGCTCTTCATAGTAGTAAACTTGAATGGCTCACAGGTGTTATTTTCACTTACAGTAGCACAAGCAAAACTGCTGAACTTGCTTGAGCCAGAAGTGTCCTAATAACTGGATCTAGCGTGTAGTTGGTAAAGGAAAAAAAACAGCTTTTAGTCCTCCAACTCTCAGCCACCCTCCCAAAACTCATAACCAGAAAACGAACTTTGTTCTGTAGTTGCTAACAGACAGTTTGTTACATTCTAAAACATGTAATCAGCACGTCTTTCCCTTTCTCGCGATTAGATTGTGTCTAGACAAACATCTCTAGTGTTGCACGAGCAAACCCGTAGGGTACTAAACACTTTCTACTCATAATAAAACTCAAAGCCACATTGTGCATCCACACTTGACTTTAGAAGTGATATGTGATAAAAGTTCTGATATTCTCTTAGCAGGTATCTGAAAAATGATTGGGCCACAGGTGTCACTGCTACCTGTAGCAAAGCTGGCTTGGGAGCCATTCTTCAGTGTGACACTGTTTGTCAATTTGATCCAAACCACCTCGGACTTTCCTCATGGCCAGTTCCCCCTCTGGCTATCGGATTCCGTGCTGCCTGCGCAAGGTGAGGTTAAGGAGATGGCTGTGGTCAATTATTGTATGGATTAACAGCCCTTCCTTTAAAAGCTCTCCAGTCAGTTGATGTGATTCTTCCTACCTACGTGACAAAACGGTAACAAACCCATCCTCTCTGCTGCTACGTGGCAAGGCTTTCCAGAGGCAGTTTTTAGCCCCTCATTAGCAGCTGCACCCCCCACTCCCTTTCAAATGGCAATAGTCATGTCTAATTAGCACCAGGGAGGCATTGTACAGAATGTTATTCAGCCTATGGAAATAAAAGAGGAGCTTTAAATACGTCTGACTATTGTTTATTGCTCTGCTTGTAGCATGGCTTCAGCTCTGTGCCGTTTGAGGTGGTCATTATGACACTTGCTCCATTTCTCTTTGAAGCGAGCACTGATAAGGGAGCACAAAGGTGGAGCTCTAACCATTCCTTCCTGCTGCCGTCCACATTCCTGGCTGTAAGGACAGTCGACTGTAGTTTATGGTCTCTTGTTGACAGCACCTGACCCTGCCTATTGGATGATGATGATAAATATCACTGACCTCGGGATGGCCAGGGCTCCTTGTTGCTGCTGACAAACAGAAACAGCCGAACTTCTAAAAGTAACAGGAGTCCAGCTGTAAATAACGATCCGAACTCTTAAAAAAAATAAGTCAACAGGTGGGTGCTTTGGGCAGATGCTATTATCCCTCCTCTGTTTGCAACTCAGCCTCGCTCTGCACGTGAGCTATGGAATAGCAAAGCTCCTTGGCTCCTGGAGGAGGTTGCTTTCAGTGCACGGGAGAGTGGTGGCGGTGAAGGAAAGCCTGCAAGGAGCTACTCTGTTTTGTGGTGAATGATGCAGTGAGCAGTAGCAGATTCAAGTTATGAAGAGAGGAAACAGGAGCAAAGGATGGTTCAGGCTGGCATCCTCAAGCCAAGGAAAATCTTAATGTAGACAATTTGATTAGGGGTTTAGCTGAAAGTTGACTAACGTGTTTCAGAGTCAGCTGGGGTGGCCTGTAGAGTCATCCTTTAATTCACCAGCAGATGGCAGTATTCACAATTGCCAGCAATACTGCTGCTTTACATCAGGCATAAATATGTGCCAGCATGTGGTTGGGGGAGATTTCTTCTCACTATTCAGGGGCTAGTCCTCCCTGCTCTTTCATTCCCCCTACAGCCACATAGCATGCACGGCCCTGTGTTTTGTACAGTAACCGGGGTTAACATCTTAAACTCAAGGCTGTTTCTCTGAAGCAGTGATAGAGAAACTACTTGCAGAAGGGGGAAGCAGCAAGAAGATCATGTTCTAGTTACCAGCAGCTGAGCTCACCTTCAACAAGAAGTTAGAGGGCGGTGTGGTCTTACCTTGAACACACTATTGCCATTTTCACTAGCTCATTCCATACAAAAGACATGAAAATGTGAAGCTTATAAATCTAGAGCTGGTTGGTGCTTATGTACCATTAACTCTGCCCCTTAGGTGTATGCATTACAATACCATCTTCATGTGACCACAGTCCTCCCCCCCTTCCAAATTCAGTATGACCGATGAATGTGCTGTTAGAGCAGCAGCTTGGTGGTGGTGGTGGTGTATTTTTTATCCTCATGTATTGACCTCCCTTGTCTTATCTGAATTCAGTGAGGCAGGGGCCTTGTGGACTCCTGCCACTTAACGCCTCACCTCCATCTCATCCATTATACCCCATTCAAATTCTAAAGTGAATAAGGCAGCACCTTGCTGGAGCCAGCTTTATTTACCAACCAACCTGTGCGTGGAATGAGGTAGGGCTGTTATGGGAAAAAATATGCTCTGCTTGTGTAAATGAAGAGTGCACAGCAATGTATCTGCACAAGTGGGCAGAGTTAAAGATGCACCGGCAGTGTAGAACTATCCAGATTTTTGAGTCCCTTAATAGTTTTTTGACAGAATTTCCTTGTTTGTTTTTAAAGGGAAAATGATCAAAATTTCCCCCCCGTGACAGATTGTAGCAGAATGCCAGCATTAGCCCAAAGGCGTACCGTACACAAAGAGACAGGGCAGCCGGGGCCTGAGATGGGATTTCCTTGGATCCCTGCTTGCTTCCACTTCCACCCTCCCAGTTTCTATCCCACGAATACTTGCATAATAAAACTTGTTCCACTCACCCTCCTTTCCCACGTGTGCAAATTCAGCGCTGAGAGATCCTCCACGCAATGGCACTGTCCATACAATTACATACGCCCGGGTTATGGCAGCAGTGTAGTGACAGATTTAGTTCTGTTGTATATAAACTAGCGTTCATGTGCCAAGTACCTTTTTCAAACCTTCAAAGCAGCTAAATCAACCCACCTTTTCACTGGGCCACTAAAAGGCACAGCTATGCCTCAGTGACTATGGGCCAGATTTTTAAAGGTGTTTGGGCATTGCCGCGCCTAACTGCTTTAGGAGTTGAAATTTTGAAAATAAGATTTAGGCTCCCAAATCAGGTAGGTATTGCAACGCTCAGTGCAGCAACACCTTATACCTTTAAACATCTGTCCCTGTCAAATTTCAAGTTCTCAGCACCTGCCACTTAAAAAAAAAAATTATATATACACACACACACTTTTTCAACCACCATAACTGCAGTTTTCCTCGGACTGAAAGGTTTCTGCGCAAGCTTCCCCAAAACCCCATTCTAAGACTGACAGCTGTACAAATTCCAGCCCAAAAGGTAAAAGTTTGACAAGGTATCAGCTTCTCAAACTGACCCATTGGAGAGAAAACATTTAAGCCATCTTCATCCTAGGCAATGTTCTTCCTGGTATCAGCACAATTAATGCCAAAAGGTGCCTAAAACCCCCAGTGTGATGTAAAAATTCAAGTACCGTGAGTTAAAGTGTTCCTTCACCATCCCACGGATTACAGCCACTAGACACAAACATCACACTCAAACAGATTTGTTTCTACTCATTTGCCAAGACATGTTGCAGTTGAATATAAAAATTCGAAAGCATCCAGCAATTCACTGAGAATGCGGAGGAGGAAGAAATAGGCAAAGTTCCAAGCCTGTGCTTTATATTTGGCTACATCTAGAAGTAACGCAAAGTGGCGTTCCCATCTGCAGGTGTAGGTGATAACGACAGATGTGTCACTGCAGAGATAATAGACCTGCCAATGATAGCAGCAGTGAGGGGCCAAGTGGGCATGGACCCTTTCTTGTGAAACCATTAGGACAGTTTTGCTTGCATCCCCTATATGATTAAGAGGGTTAAATGAAATAGCATTTCTGGAATTAAAGGTTTATTTAAATATGTAGATGACTTTTCATTCATGGTTACAAGGTCAATATTCGCTTACCAATGGAAGCACTTTATTTGGTTGAATTCTGTCTCCAGAAATGAATGGGCAACACCAAAACCTTTTACATTGGCAATGAAATCACAACATTGAGATGCCACCAAAATCTAGAATTCAGTGCGCAAACACATACACACACAGATACAAATTAAAAAAGTGCTCAGCATCATGTTAAAATATAATTTGGCTTCTTTTAAGTCTTTTGACACTTCAAGCAGAAAAAAAAAGTCAATACGCATCAAACCAAAAAGAACTTTTGAAAAATACTCAGCATTAAACACAACTTTCAGTATCAGTAAATATGTTTCTTTTCTTCTATATTTACAGATGTTAAGAAAGGGCATTAGAAACACTGTTTTGCTGGGGACAATGGTGAGATTCCATTTCATAGAGTGTACAATCACACTTTTGCAGTGTGAGCTTAGTAAATTCAAGCAAAGTTTTTATAAACCAGTCATATGTTTAGAGAGACAAGGTGGGTGAGGGAATAGCTTTTCTTGGACAGACAAGCTTTCACGCTTACATGAAGCTTTTGTTCAGGGCTGGCCTCACCCACCTGTGTCTAATATCCTGGGACTGACACAGCTACACCACCACTGTATAAGTCATATGTTTAGTCTGTCTCAGTTGTTTGTTTTTAAAGTTAAACTCTAACACTTACCTACTTCTTATGCTGAATACACACAGCAGAAGAAAGAGCTAAACTATAGTACCTGATGTTTCCTTCTCATCAGTTTTAAGGTCCAGGCTTTCTGAAATGGGGCAGCAGGTTTATAAAAACTCCACGGATGGTCTTCTAATACATCCCTTTCAAAGAAAATCTGTTGGCTTGGCCAAAGCTAATGCTCCTTCTAAAGCACTATGTAGCAACACTGACATTGGAATAGTTCAAATGTTCCACGGAGGCTGACAATAATATACTGTCCACCTAGATTAAATATATAAAAGAAAACTCTCATTTTTACATAGATGGCACAAAAAAGGGTGAAAGTCAACTGATTCTAGCTGCTGCTTCAACAGTGCATCAGACACAAAGGAATAAATACTGCAGCTAAAAATATTTGTAGCTATTTGCACGCCTGTTGGCTGCTTAACCATTTAGATCCCGATGGAGATATGCTGATCTTGAAATGCAACAGAATCCTCGCATACTTGCGTCACAGTTCTGCATATGAAGTTATAAGAGCAAACTGTGTACGTGGTGGATTTTATTCTGGTATCGAAGGCTTGCGGATCTAAAGAGCTAAGCGAAGGCAGTAACAGCAGTGGTATGGATGGCAGTTTAGCTGATTTTGACCCTTCGGACTGTGATAACATTGCAGCTGAAGAGCTTCAGAGGTTTCTGAGTTTGTACCAGCTGCTTAGACAACGCAGCCTCCTGACCTATGTTAACTTGATTCCAAAAAAAATTGTCTTCTTGCTTGCGGAGTCTTATAGTTATTAAGCATGATGAAGCATTAACTACAGTATTAACTACTGTAGAAGTGAAGGACTCTCTGCTATTAAAAATATAAATTTATTACTATTTTAAGAGGGACAAAATTGTGAACAAAACATTTAACCTACCTTAAAGACAACCACCTCATCCTAAGATGGGAAGAGCTAGGTGATACCCTACATAAGAATGCACGATTCTTGGATACTATATGTCCCTGCTCACAAGAACAGGGGTCAGCATTGCAACACGCACAGGCCTGCCTGCAAACCAAAGCTGATAGGTCTCATTTTAGGGCCACTAGCTATGATGGCATCCATTTTAATTCTCTTTTATTCTGGGCCTTTTACAAAAAATCCAGGATATTTCTTAAGAGCTGGGGATTTTCCCGAGCTACTAAGACAGGCCTTGGAAAGCTGTTCTTATTACCCACTGGCTGCTGTTAGACAAGGTTTGAGGAGGTATATGATTACTGCAATAGCCTAGAAATGTGAAGATTTTGGGAGAAGGAGAGCGAGAAACTTATAGTTTTAGGAGCTTAGAAAGCAACC